GGTAGAACACTTGGTGGACTATCTCTATCCCAAGAGTTTGGTGTAGTCTCGCCTGAACTGATCTCTATGATTTGGGTAGATGGCACTACTCTCTCCTCCTCAGGGTAATGTACTGGCCAAGTCATGTGTTCGCCATACTCATTCACCGTTGTGCTGGGCTGCACGTTGTCTCTCGGCATAAGATATACGTCCTCGTCCCAATCACTGCTGCTATCATGATCTGTTAGTGTCTGCTGTTCCAAGTCCGTCACTACGATCCAGTGCTCCGAATTGCTCGACGGTTCTGAACTCGACGATCCAGACTCCACTGTCCACTCTTGCCCAGTACTAAACCACGACCCCTCATCATCCACAAACCAGTCACTCATGACTTCAAGCTATCACCACAAAGCAAACATTAGGGTTCCTATTCAACACAATCTATCCCATGGATGATCCGCATCCATCTATTCTATGGATGATCAACACCCATAGACACCTCAAACATGGCTTACCACATTGCACAATGTTACCATAACCTCTATACTGACCATGCAACAATCAAACAAGAACATGCATGATCAATCAGCAATTAACCACAACCTAAACATTCTACCTATATGCTGCAGACAGACCAGATTACCTAAGGTAGTTTTTGCGACTCCTTTTTGACTCGATAAAACGTTTTAAAAATCCTTGTTCCCGAGCATGATCATGAACCATGCTCTGATACCACCATTTGTAACACCCCCGAACCGTCCTAGGCACAGACGTTCCGAGAAGCGCCACAAAATGTCGATGTTCGCCGAATAGGCCATCCCAGACTAAGAACAAATCAGAGCCCAGGTCAGCCCGTTCCACGAACTCGACCCTCTTGACCAAAGCCTAAGGCTTGCCAACCCGTACTTCGGTCAGGAGTTGTGTTAGCCCGGACCAAGCTAATATCATTGGAACATAAGGTCTTTACATAAAACTTTCCTTTATTAAAATATCAGAGTGCTTACAAAATCCGACTTAAAAACATGCGGATCGATCCTTAGTTCCAAACCAAACAACAAACCATTATTTTACAAAAACATACCACAAAACTATTCTGGCGCCTACTGCCTGCAGCGGTCCGCTCTACTTCACACCTCTACGGTCACCTGAAAACATTAAACAAAAGGAATGAGTAATCTAATATTACTCAGTGAGTCTAGGACCTCTATACAAGGGGGATTCCCTAAACTCCAAACACAAACGCCGCGGGCTAAGTAGCCCCGCCTTCACCTGCATTGAGGTTAGTACACAACCTGCATAACATATGCAATCACACACAATAATGATGCTATAGCCTTAAGACTAACCGTACCCCAATCAAACAAGAACAGGTACGATCAATCCAAGACTATAACAACATACAAACAAGCAATCTATATGCAATGCCCATGCAAACCTAGACAAGTATCTAATACTTGTTTTCTATATGCAATAAGGCGCCTAGGTGCATTAGCCACATTCTCTGCCCACGCCTGTGAAGGTTCACGCTCATCCGGAATCACACAGAAACTAGATGAACGCCTTCACCCGGGCACTACAGTCCATCGCGGTACCCGGTTCATCCTTCCATCTATTGGCCTTACTGGCGCACCATGCCAATGTCTGGTTGGATCCCATATCGTCATATGGTACCATACTCGGCCAAGGCAGCTGACCAGGTTATCCTCCGAGTCTTCCTCCCTTCATGCACAGCCTCCTCGCTGCCAATCCGGTTGGGCTCTGACGTGCGAGAATGCGCTTGACTACACCTTCCTAGACAACATGTGGTTAGACACGCCACATGTTCTCAGTACTTAGCATATGGGCCTTTACGCACCACTATGCCTCATACCCTCGGTTCTGCGGCAGAGCTTCCCTTGCCTCGGAAGAGTACCCACACGAACCTCGAAAGATCTGGCGGCTCAGCCGTCCGTGATCTTTCCACATCGGAGTCATACTCAACATATGGGCCTTACGCACCACCATGTTAGCATGCACTCGAGGTTTAGCGGCATAGCCATGCTATAACCCCACAACCGATGCATCTATGAGATTTGGCGGCATAGCCATCCACAATCTCACATCACCTAATGTATAGATATGCATCTACACTAACAAGATCTGACGGCATAACCTTCCCCGAAGGTTACCCATCACAATCTTACACAGAAAAGAGATCTGTTGGCATATCCTTCCCGAAGGTTACCCAACACAACCTCACACACAAAAGAGATCTGGCGGCCTAACCTTCCCCGAAGGTTACCCGACACAACCTCACAACACAAGAGATTGACGGCATAACTTCTCTCCCTAGAAGATTACCCATCACAACCTCACAACAATGCAAACCTGCATATAAACACACAAGAGATCTGACGGCATAACTTCTCTCTAGAAGATTATCCATCACAACCTCACAACACATTATATAAATTTCTGCAGCATAACTCTCCACAATTTTTACTAAACCTTATTGTTTAGAGAGTTATACTACAGAACCAATAACCAATATGAACAGAAAGCATCTCCTATGCTTTGGTGTTCATACAACCTGCATACACAAACAAAGATCCAAAAGACTAAAACTATAACACCAAGACTCACCACTTTAAGAAGACTTCAAGATCCTCCTAGCTTTCCTTAAGCTTTGATCTTGACCTACTCTAATCTTCCACTAACCTCACTTAATTAAGAAAACTTTCTTAATTACTCTCTAATCACTTTTCAGGTGCTCTCTAGCTTTGGGAATGGAATGGTTTGGACTTGGGGTGGAGGAGCGTATTTATAGGAGTTCAGGAGGCTGCCTGGCTTCTTGGGACGTCTCCAGTCATGCGCAGACACATGGAGACCTAGGCCTAGCATAGCTTTGCTTGGTGGCAACCTACACTGCCTCAGAACGCGACATCCAGGCGGTCTAGGCTAGGTAGCTTTGATTGGTGGCCTCTAGGGCGTCTCAGGACATGACACACGTCATTCCTATCCCCTCTCAATGCTCATCCAATGAGCCGACTTCCCCCAAGCATGTGGTGTGATCGTCCGATTGGTTATAACTCATCTTATCCATTAAGATGCTGGGTGCTTCTGTCTGATTGGTCAGCTCTTGATCCAATCCGTTTCTGCATCTCTCCACTTGCTTCTCATCCACTCCTGAAGCTTCTCCTCTCTCTCAGTGGTTGGTGTTGCATCCTGATTCGTCCAAGTCCATTTCGTCTCCATTGAGCACTTCTGTGTCTCCGTCTGATTGGTTTGGACAATTCTTGTCTCTCATGAGCAGCTGGGTGTCTCTCCCTGATAGCATTAGGTCTTCTTGGAGTTTATCCACGCCCTCTCTCCTCCATAGCAGCTGGTGTCGTTGCCCAATTGGTTTAGGCTTGCTTCGTCTTCATTCAGTAGCTGGATGTTGCTACATGATTGGCCCGTCTTAGAAGCTGCTGTGTATCTCCATTTGATTCGTCCATTTCTTTTGGATAAGATCATCCAATAAGAATGCTTATCCACGGCTCACTCTCTCCTAGCAGGTAGTGTTGACGCACGATTGGTCCAACACAATTTCGTCCCATTCCAATAGCTCAATGTCTCTACTTGATTGGCTGAATGGTTTTGGCTCCATTGTAGTAGCTGCATGTCTTCTCCATATTGGTTATGATCATCCTTATCTTCTCCAAGTAGCTGGTGTCACCACTTGATTGGCTTAGAACAAGATTGCTCCAATGTACGTTTCCTCGTCCAGAGGGTTTCGTACGTTTCCCTGTCTGGAGGGTTTCGTCCCCGTCGTGCTTGAGAATTAAAATCTCCTATTTTAATCCTTCTCTCATTTCCATGTTTCTGAGCTTCCACATAGTTGCTTGGAAATGTGCAGAATACCTCCATCCCGAACATTTACGCTTCTTGCAGTCGTTGCGGGATAGATCTTGGCCGTCCGTCCCATCTCTCAATCTGCTCGTCCGATTTGCATTCTGCTTCGACCAAACTTCTTAGAATGGTCTCTTATGTCGTCCAAACTCTTCTCTTCTTGATTTGGAGAACTTTGATATTTCGTCGTCCTGTTGACTCTTCCCATGTTCGTACAATGATCGTCCCACCTGGACAATCTTGCTGTATCTTCACTTCTGCTCGATCGTTCTTGATCCTGTCTTGATCCAAGTCTTCGTTGTGATCTCTGGATTAGATCCAACGTCTTTGTCTTCCAATCCCAGAGTGTTGATCTTCCCATCCCGGCCTTTGGGATGTTTTAGGTCTTGATACGGGGTATCACATTCTCCCCCCCCTTAATAGAATTCGTCCCCGAATTCCAGTTGTAGAGAGTAGGAACGTTCCATTGTTCCGGTGTCTCTCCCATCTTTGAAGATGCCTTGCCTCTTCTTACTCTGTATTCACGTTGTCCCCTTGCAGACTCCTCTTACTCTGTCTTCAGGTTGTTCCCTTGCAGACTCCTCTTCTACTGCTCTCCTCTGATCCTCCTTGCTCAAATCTCCATTCCCCTAACCATCCATCCCGGCTTTAACTATGGGTTATCTAATGTCAAAACCGTACCTTAACCAACACTTCCCTGTTGGTCTTGATCCCGGTCTGACCACTCTAGCGAGGTTCTCCTAACTTTGCTAACCACCTAACCTCTTACTCAAGGATTTTCCGTCCTAGCTTTGTTTCCTTATTGGAAACAGCATTCACGGAATTTCCTTCTATTAACACATCGCTTTCCCTTTAAGGGTTCCTACTCGATGTGCTAATACCCAAAACTACTTAACCGAACTAACTTGGTTCCAAGGATATCCGCTCTAGTTTCATTTCCCCCTGGAAATAGAAACATCGGAATCTCCTTTCACCACATCGTTTCCCAAAACATGGGTTTCCTAAACGATGTCTCTACCAAACTCAACTTAAACCACTAAACAATCCTACTTACTATACCAAGCAAGCAAGAAAATAAACCATTCAAAGATTGAGTTAGAACCCGAAAAATACCTTTTCTCGGCATGTGGTTAGGGTTCCTAAACTCTATCTTACATTCTATGGCTTCCACTCCGTGGTCGCCTCTCTCTCCTTGTGGTTGAGCGGGTGGGTTGACTAGTACTGGGGCAGTTCCTTGGACAGTCTGCTGCGAAATGGCCTTTCTCTCCACAAGTAAGGAAAATGTTCTGCCTTTCATTCATCCTTGATCTAGCTTGCACATTGGGACATGCTCGGCTATGATGTCCCGTCCTTCCACATTTATCGCATGGTAGCGTGACTTGAGACGTTGCTGGGACTCTCATCCTCGCAAGTCTTCTGGGAGGCCTTCCCCTTTGGCGTGACACAGTTTGCTCTTGGCCATTACCCTCTGTTCTGAGGTTCTCCAATTCTGTGGCGATTATCTCGTCCCACCTTCTTGCTAAGTTAAGACCTTCATCATCTTGTAGCCATTCATTCTCTTCGGTACCTTCCTCCGTGGTTTGGTTAAGATCCGGTATTTGATGTTGAGCTCCAATGCCTGCCACCGAGTTTGGTACATCTTGTTCTCCATACATTGTACACCACATTGCATTAGCTTCTCCTTGATCTTGAGGTATGCTTCGTTCTCCACGCTCCATTGATGATGTGTATCCAGCGATCTCGTTGAGTCTCCTTGTACAGTACGTGGGTGATACGTTCTGGTGTCCAAGATAATCCTCCCATGTTGGTTCCGGCGTATCCGGTTCTTCAGGTTGGTTTGTGAAGACTTCGTTATTGACTTGAGTTGCGATGGCTGGATCATTGCTTTCTACACCCGTGGTAATGAACGGGTATACGTAGTCCGTTGGATTCTCCTCCGTTGGCATGTACGAATATACTCCACCTCCTGGTGCAAATACATGCGGCATTGGTATATGCGGTAGAACACTTAGTGGACTATCTCTATCCCAAGAGTTTGGTGTAGTCTCGCCTGAACTGATCTCTATGATCTGAGTAGATGGCACTACTCTCTCCTCTTCAGGGTAATGTACTGGCCAAGACATGTGTTCGCCATACTCATTCTCCATTGTGCTGGGCTGCACGCTGTCTCTAGGCATAAGATATACGTCCTCGTCCCAATCACTGCTGCTATCATGATCTTAGTGTCTGCTGTTCCAAGTCCGTCACTACGATCCAGTGCTCCGAATTGCTCGACGGTTCTGAGCTCGACGATCCAGACTCAGCTGTCCACACTTGCCCAGTACTAAACCACGACCCCTCATCATCCACAAACCAGTCACTCATGACTTCAAGCTATCACCACAAAGCAAACATTAGGGTTCCTATTCAACACAATCTATCCCATGGATGATCCACATCCATCTATTCTATGGATGATCAACACCCATAGACACCTCAAACATGGTTTACCACATTTCACAATGATACCATAACCTCTATACTGACCATGCAACAATCAAACAAGAACATGCATGATCGATTGGTCCAACACAATTTCGTCCCATTCCAATAGATCAATGTCTCTACATGAATGGCTGAATGGTTTTGGCTCCATTGTAGTAGCTGCATGTCTTCTCCATAATGGTTATGATCATCCTTATCTTCTCCAAGTATCTGGTGTCACCACTTGGTTGGCTTAGAACAAGATTGCTCCAAATGTACGTTTCCTCGTCCAGAGGGTTTCGTACGTTTCCCTGTCTAGAGGGTTTCGTCCCCGTCGTGCTTGAGAATTAAAATCTCCTATTGTGATCCTTCTCTCATTTCCATGTTTCTGAGCTTCCACGTAGTTGCTTGGAAATGTGCAGAATACCTCCATCCCGAACATTTACGCTTCTTGCAGTCGTTGAGGGATAGATCTTGGCCGTCCGTCCCATCTCTCAATCTGCTCGTCCGATTTGCATTCTGCTTCGACCAAACTTCTTAGAATGGTCTCTTATGTCGTCCAAACTCTTCTCTTCTTGATTTGGAGAACTTTGATATTTCGTCGTCCTGTTGACTCTTCCCATGTTCGTACAATGATCGTCCCACCTGGACAATCTTGCTGTATCTTCACTTCTGCTCGATTGTTCTTGATCCTGTCTTGATCCAAGTCTTCGTTGTGATCTCTGGATTAGATCCAACGTCTTTGTCTTCCAATCCCAGAGTGTTGATCTTCCCATCCCGGCCTTTGGGATGTTTTAGGTCTTGATACGGGGTATCACACTGCCGGTTTAAACACAACACCTTATGCTAAGCAAAGCCAAGAAAGGTTCTCACATTCGCACAAGAGATAATATGGGGTTTGAAATGAAAAAGGCTTAGGTTTAAGGTGTGGTAACTGTCTCAAAGATAGAGATCAGCTATCTGGACAAGCAAAGGGATATGAAAATGGTAAAGAATGTCCAGATATGTATGTGGTAGCCATGAGTTGAAATCAAATGCAAGCATTGGTAATTAAAGATCAAGTTATGGTTCAAATAGATAGGGAAATGCATCAAATCACAGCAATGGTTGAATGAGATGTGCATGCAGTGATATGATCAAGATAAACATGGTTCTTGCTGCTCAATCAATCTCACCCTAATGCACAAAAGAATCTAAAAACAGGGCACTCAAGAAATCGCAAAAGATGAACAAGTTTTCAAAGTCAAATCAACAATGCAAGTGAAAAATGCAATCCTAAACAAGTCTAACAAATATGAATGCAAAAAGATGAAAATATTTTTGGATTTTTTGAAAATTTTATGATTTTTTTGGTTTTTCTATGCAAAAGATAAATGAAAAACTAAGAACAAAGAAAACAAGGTTAAATCATCTCTTGAACCCTCCCCCAAACTTAAATCACACAGTCCCTTGTGTGAGAAAAATTTAGTGAAAGATTCAAGAGGGCAAAACCAAGAAAAAACAAGAACAAATGCAAGAAAATATGAAATGGTATATACAAGGGTTGGTGTTTGGATACCTCAGTGCCCCCCAAAGAACTGGGAGGCTAGGTCGTGGTCTGGAGATGGTAGACGGCCATCAGGAGCACTCCACTCAACTGGGTTCGGCTCACTCGATCGAGCTTGCGGCTCCTCTTCTTCCTCTTCTTCTTCATCTTCAAAGTGGGTGTGGCTTCCTTGGCCTTGGTGGAGCTTGTGCTCGCTCGAAGCGGTTGTAGGGGTCCATCTCTGAGAGAAGTCCTGGTAAGGTGGGATCGTACTCGAATCCCGGATTCTCAAACAGGGGCTCCTCCAGGTCAACTCGACCCTCAGCTCGATCGAGTTGAGTTTCCTCTGTTTGGACTCGATCGAGTCCGGTGGTCGAGCTGGAGCGTCTGGCCTTGGAGTCTTCCTCCTTCTCTGCGTGTTGTCTTCCCTTCCCTTGGCTCGAAAGAAGAGGCTCTGTGAGGCTTCTTGGGCAGGAGCCTCCTTTGAGTGGTGAGGAGTGATCTACTCCTAGGGAAAGTGGGGGCCTTGGGTCTTCTTCTTGCTTGAAGAACCAGAAACTTTCTTCTCCAAACTCTTGATCTTGCTCACCATCTTGTCCATGGACTTTTGCATCTTTCCATGGCTTTCCCTTGCCACTTGTTGAACCTTTGGAGAAGTCCAATCCTCTTGTGGGCAGCCACAACAGAGGGGTTCATCCTTGGAGCCTCATACTCCTCAAAATAGTAGCACTCAGGCTCACCCAAATCCGCACTCTCCTGGACTCTGATCCTCAGCTTGAGACTCAGCTCGATCCTCAGCTCGATCGAGCTCAGGCTCCTCTTCTCGCAAATCCTTCATGCCCAACTAATGTGTACACAGGGGGTCTGAAATCAATGTTCTCACCTCCTACACTGTGGTGAGCTCTGGGTTGGGCAGGAGAAGCTTGGAGGGCCAGCCAATGGATGGTGAACTTGAATTGGAATCTCCCATCCAACTCCTTGTGCTCAATGAGAGGTTGGTCTTGCAAAACTTGATGTCCAA